TTTTCGACACAGTAATAAGTCTATATGTACTTCTATTCTTTGTTTTTTAAGTATAACGTCGCTAAAGAGTCATTTAGTTATTTATATAAATATTAAAACATATATACCTGTACGAATAATTTAAAAAAGAATTATGAATGTTAAATATGATAAAGGAAAAAAAAATTGTAAATTATAAACTTTATATCAGTACTAAAAAAAAAATTAAAAAAAAATCTACTAGTAGTTTTCATATGAGACCATGAATAGCGGGGCTTTTCATATTACAGTATTATGTAATGTAAGACTAAGTCGTTACAGTAATAAACTTAAAAAAGATTCACTTCCAGGTTTTCGCTCTACAGCGTGTTTAAAATAATTTAACCAAATTTATCGACTTCAATAATTTTTTTTTTGGCATTAAAAAAAAATTTTTTTGTTACAGGTTAATGAAAAGTCTCTGACCGGATCAGAATACGGTAAAATGGCTATTCATCCTTCAATACAGTAATATATTTATCAATGAATTATAAACAGTGTTCTAAATAGGACTTCAAATTTACCGGACCACTATCCGTATGCGCTTTAAATTTCGGATCTCTTTTCAAAAATTCTGTCGTTCCTTTTTTCTTTTTATTCAAACCCGTTTCCAAATTTTCCGGATTCTGAGCCGGTTGCAGTACCTTCTTGTTTTTAAAATACCGGTACGTGGAGTGTAAAAAACGGATAATCCGGAATTTTAATATACTAATTAAAACGCTGGTTTTTTATTTATGTGGAAAGATTTCAATTTAGAAAGAGTTATCTACCGATACAAAGAAATAGAAATCTCATGTCTGTCGTGATCGGTATTAAAAGCACTACATATAATGCGTATCTCGTTCGCCAAAATAATAGCATAAAAGTTACCACTAATGTATCCTCTAGGCAAACGATTTAGAAAGTATTATTTGGGAAAATTTATTTCTCCAAGCTGATGATGGTATTTATCTTCAACGAACTGGTAATCCCACTGCCAATAATCCTTCTTGGAGCACTGGTCGATTTTATCGTCAGGAAAGTCTACGCAAGTGTTGTCTCTTGAACATGGTGGTGTTTAGGGTAAGGTCGTTCATTATGGCCAAGTGAGCGCGTTGTATTTGGGTGGTATCAAAAACGGGCCGCTTATTCCCGACAATTCAGATCGTATTCCTTCTATAACAAATGAAAGTAGTCTGATTGTCGTTAATTCCGATGAAAAATTAATATTTGAATCTCTAAAATAAGCAACATTTAGTACGTATAAAATTTGCAATCATGCATTACAAAAGGTATTGCTTGAGAATTACTTACACTATATTTTATTGTTACTTTCACGACTTTGTTTATTTTATTAATAATTTACATTGAAATTCAATTACTTAGTACCTAAGAGAAATCATAAAAGTTATTTCTGAATATATATACCTGTAGTTATAATCAATGAATTTTGATTTGATAATAACAACTATAAAAACTATAATAATAATAAAAATAATAATGCCGATAAAAACTATCACAACTATAAAGATAATAAA